TATCTATCTATCTATCTATCTATCTATCTATCTATCTATCTATCTATCTATCTATCTATCTATCTATAAACACATACATATAAACACATACATATAAACACACACATATTATCTTTAACTTTATTTTGTACCTGTTGACTCTACCAGAAAATCAATGCATCACTCAGTATATTAATGTCTTCTTTTTTTAAACGTAGTGGGACTTTAAAATTCAAATATAATAAAGTTTCCTTTATTTCTGAAATCATAGGTTGGCCTTTAGCCACATTCATTTATTGTATTAAAATCTTTCCCATATTTTCAAAATCTGTTTCTTTACGTTGAAAAGAATCAGAATGAATTTCTTATCAAAATTTCTGCTCTATTCTCTAGCTGTTCTTCATGCATCTGCTGCCGAATTTTGCTGAATGCTGGTGGGATCAAGTTATTTTGGACATCCTATTATGTAATGGAGGTGGCATCTGGTTGGGCATGGTGGTTTGCCGTTGGTTGGAGATGAGGACTTATCACTGGGCAAGCTTCAAGTAGGTCTCAAGTATTATGTAAAAATAGATATTAGATTGTTTTAATGAGATATTATATTGCAGAGTTTCATAGAAATACAGGTAGTCCTCAATTTATGACCACAGTTGAGCCCAAAATTTCTGTTGCTAAATGAGACATTGTTATGTGACTTTGCCCCATTTTACAACTTTTCTTCCCACAGTTGTTAAGTGAATCATTGCAGTTGTTAAGTTAGCAACATAATTATTAAGTGATTCTGGCTTCCCCATTAATTTGCTTGTCAGAAGGTCACAAAAAGTGTTCACATGACCCCAGGACACTGAAACTATCATAAATATGAGCCAGCTGCCAAGTGTATGAATTTTGATCATGTGACCATGGGGATGCTGCAATGCTCATAAGTGTGAAAAAGTGTCATAAGTTACTTTTATCAAAGCTGTAGTAGCTTCAAATGGTCACTGAAGGAACTGTTGTAAGCTGACGAATACCTGTATAGTGAAAGTTGCCAATTACAGGATAATTTAATTATAGGCCCCTTAAATAGATGTGTTCAAGCTCATATTTATGTTCTTTGTATTAATAAAAATACTACATGTATTTGCGCTAGGAATTGTAATTTGGAATAGTTTTCCAGTTACATCTATCAGTGAGTGTTGAGAGTCATATGGAGTCACCTACAGATTCATTTGCATGAGTAATCTAAGTAATTTTGAAAAAAGAACCTTTGTTATTAGTTTAAATTTATTAGAAGTTAGCTGATTGAGGTTGGTCTTGGTAAAAGATAAGAAGACATGAAACCTGAACAGAACTTGGATGAGAGACAACCAAGAACATCTTAGAAATGTAGGCTACTGTCAGCCTCTATATCGCTTGCTTGCTATCGACTGCCAAAGTAACAGGGAGGGAGGGGGCTTATGGTATTTGGGAGGGGAAGCATGCTGGTGGAGACATCTCAAAAGAGCGAGTTTTGTTCTCACCATCTTCTGCGCATGCTGAAGGCTCGTGTTTGGGTTTGATCAAGGCCAATTGTCTCTGTGTACCAGCTGAATGAGGCCACCTAAAGATGCACCCCACGTGACACCCTTGTGGGTTGGAGATTGGACAGTGGGCTGGGGTAACTGAGGGAAGGGATTTTGGTAAACGTTTGATATGTACAAGTTCGTGCTTTTTTGCCTCAGATCTTGCTTCGCTTTCGCTGTTTTTATTTCATATCCAGTAGAGGTAACTTTTCTCTAAATAAATGGAGTCGGGGGTTTCCTTTCTTGGATGTTGAATGAGGCACGCCTGACCACTACATTGAGAAATTAAAAATTATTGCAGGAGATGGTAATGGCAAACAATAACTGGTCTCAAGGAAGTCCTTACTACTGTGATTAATTCTGTGGGATTGGACTTGGAGCATGAAAATGAATTGTTTCATATTGCTTGTTGTTAAGGATACCATTGAAGGGTGAGATTAGGAAATGGTTTCCCATATTTCCTGCTTCTTTCCATGGTGAATTTGGTGTAAGAACATTTTAAAAAAACGTAATAGTGCTATCTTCTGAGAGCTGTGTTAGCATTTGCTAATGGTTCCTATATATTGTTTTATCTGTTTTCCTTTCTGGTTACAATTCTTGTATTTTATCCTGGCAATAGAATTAGAAGAACATATCTGTCTTTCTTGATATACTTCTCAACTATGTACACAATCATTTCTCCATGTAACAGTAAATCCATAGAGCTTGAAATAAAATTGATTTCATGTTGTAGTTGCTACAGTGCAGAAAGATGATTTTCAAATTAGTGTTTGAAGTTTTATTATTGATTGTGTCCTGCTAGAAGTAAGAGGGAGAAATTTCCCTGGATGCCATTGTGACAAGTACAAAACTAATACTGGATATCTTTAGTTGTATTTGTGCCCCAGGTATAGTGAAAGACATTAAGAAGGAATGTTTTTTAAGTTTCTTATCCTGGTAATTTAGAGGAAAATCCACTTCCTTCAGCCACACTCTTGCTGTTCCAGAGGATGCCAGATCTTCAGGATCAGGAATATGAATGCAGGACGGGAAAGTCCTATAGCAGTGATGGCTAAACCTCTCCGGATAGAGTGGCCAAAGTGTGCCTGAACCCCCAAAATGCAATGCACTCCCCACGCATGCACCGTGCCCCCACGCATGCGCCCTGCCCCCACACATGTATGTGTGACCCCCCCATGCACCCTGTATGACACTGCACATGTGTGGGTGCGCACACACATGCCACGCCCCCCCATGAATGTACGTGCGATCCCTCCATGTGCTCCCTTCTCGTGCATGCACGACAAAGACGCATACGTATGCGTGTCGAAGCTGAAGTGGGGTGACGGCTCGTGTGCCATCAGAGAGGGCGCTGCGTGCCACCTCTGGCACATGTGCCATAGGTTCGCCATCACGGTCCTATAGAATTGGAAGAGGCTAGAATGGAAGTCGCTGTTGTAGAATAGAAATGGAACATCACCTATAGCTCCTTAAAATGTACTTGGAAACTGTTTGTGTAAATAAAAAGCAAATAGAAATTTTTGCAAATGCTAACATTCACATTGATATAATCACTGACTTTTTATTCACTTTATCCTTAGTTCTAATTCTTAATTCTAAGGACACCTGTCAAATGATAAAAAAAATTGTGTGGGAAAGCCTAGAATTTTCAAGTCCTTTTCTTCGAAAGCAGTTTTTAAAAATTGGCTTTGTTGAGTAAAATTGTTCTTTCAGCTTTGATGCATTTAGGGAGGAAAGCCTTTGTGTGAATGAGCATTTTGTTGCAAATTTCTACTGAGAAAACTGCTTGCTTAATGGATTAAGTTTGCAACAATATCACAATATATGACACCATTTTTGAATTATGATTGTTAAGCAAAACTGCAACATTGATCTCCTCTTTATCTGCTTTTAGGGATATTCACACCACCACAGGTAAAATCAAGAGGGCTGTTTTACAGTTCACTCCAGCAAGCTGGACCTACGTTCGCTGGTTTGATCCCAAGTCCTCCTTTCAACGAGTAACCGGGATATACCTTTTCATGATCATATGGCAGGTAAAATACAAATGAAGACTTGGAGCATCTTAGTTGATGTTTTGTGGGAAGCAGATTATATTTGTTTTATTATATCTTGCTCAATAGTAGTAACTGTGAGAGGGATCTTTGAGTCCTAGTGGACAACCATTTAAATATGAGCCAGCAGTGTGCAGCAGCTGCCAAAAAAGCCAACACAGTTCTAGGCTGCTTAAACAGAGGGAATCAAGATCAGGTGAAGTGTTAATACCACTTTATAATGCCTTGGTAAGGCCACACTGGGAATACTGCATTCAGTTTTAATCACCAATGTTTAAAAAAGATGTGGAGACTCTAGAAAGCGCTTAGAGAAGAGCAACAAAGATGATTTGGGGACTGGAGGCTAAAACATATGAGGAACGGTTGCAGGAACTGGGTATGTCTTGTTTAATGAAACGAAGGACTAGGGGAGACATTATAGCAGGGTAGCAATATCTCAAGGGTTGCCACAAAGAAGAGGGAGTCAAACTATTCTCCAAGGCACCTGAGGGTGGAACAAGACGCAATGGGTAGAAACTAATCAAGGAGAGAAGCAACTTAGAACTGAGGAGAAATTTCCTGACAGTTAGAACAATTAATAAGTGGAACAGCTTGCCTCCAGAAGTTATGAATGCCCCAACACTGGAAGTCTTTAAGAAGATGTTGGATAGCTATTTGTCTGAAACGGTATAAGGTTTCCTGCCTA